GTCATTCTTTTTCGAAAAATTGGAGATATTGAAAAAAATTAATTCTTATCATAATAGGCTTTGACTTTGAAGTTTCCAAATTTGACTTTCAATTTGTTACACTAAATGACATTTTGTTATTGTACAAGTCATTGAATTTTTGGCGAAAATGGCTTTCACGGATGAAGAAAAAAGATATATGATACAATTTTTTTATAAATACGATAGAAACAATGTTAGGACATCGGAAATGTATTTAAACTTGTTTCCCGAAAGACGACAACCACATCGAACTATGTTCAAGTTATTGGATCAAAATCTCACTGAGTTTGGTTCATTTGAAAAGCCGAGGAGAAAATACGGAGACAGAATGTACCAGGAAACTAGTGAAAATTTAATAAATGAGGTATGTATGAGGTAAGTTAGACATTGGGCCCTTTTCAATAAAATTAATAATTTTCAAATAAACATGAACCCGGGGAAATCTACACGTCAAATTTCCTCCGAAATGAATATTTATCATACAAGTGCTTGGAGACATCTCAAAAAAATCGGTTTAAAATGTTACAAAATACACATATCTCAAAAATTGCATCCGAAAGGCGATTAGAATTTTGTAATTGGCTACTAAGAATACTTGAGTTTCCTGTTTTGCTGGAAAATGTAATTTGGACAGATGAAAGCACTTTTACGAATTGTGGGATATTCAACCGAAATAACGAACACATTTGGAGCATAAACAACCCCAGATCCAATTTTTCGAAAAAAAAAAGTGATAACTTATGATACATCATTGAAAAGGTAAAATATGGTTCTATTCAAAACAGAAAAAATCCAATGTAGCGCCCATAAGAAAAAAAAAAGTTGATGATGATGGCCGGAAGACGAAACGTCGGATAGCAAATCTGAAAACGCAAAAAAAAAGTGGCAATGTAGGAGTGCAATTTATTTTAGAATCCCAGGAAAGATAAAGCCAGAAAAAATAAAAACCATTTTCCGAGATTTCTGTTTTTTACGGATATACTCGGAATTTCAGAATTTTCTCAACGGCATATTGTCGTCAGTCAGGTAAATGCGCAACTTTCCCCCAATTTAACCATCTTCCTATTTCTCATAGTTTCCGAGATCCCAATGGTGAGGATCGAATTTGAAACACCCTATAGATAGATATGCATGACACCAAAAATATTGTTTTCATTGATTTTGCTTGCGATAACCAGTGCTTCAAAATGTGACGAAAGCATTATAAACAAACCTAAAAAATTCATTTCATTTTAGTTGAAATCGCATTCAGTCCCCTACAGTTCTGGTAATACACTGCAACATATGAATAATGTACAGAAAAGCCATGGAATGAAATTTGACCACTGATTCATTAATTCTCCAAACCAAATTTGTCTCAACTCATCGGAGCCATTGCACTTTGGCAGGAAAAAATATCATGTTTTGGGTTCGAAGTAACATCATCTACTGTTATGAAATATATCATTAGTAAAGTCTAAAAATGGACCGGAACTGAATTATTTGGGGTATATTGCTTCTCTTGCGTGCGTTCATTAACAAAAAAACCTTCATTTCAATAATGCAGTTTCCAAATAGGATAATTAGAGGTTCCCATGACATTTCCATGCGTATAAAAGTTGTTTGTCAATTTCAAGAAAATAGGCTTATTTATTCTCCACACGATTGTGGTAAATGTTTTATTTTTAAGTCTATTCATATGATTGCATCATTATATATTGATGGTAGGTTATTAATGTGACACAATGTACTTCTGTCAGCACATGGATTATTTGTGTACTCTTGTGTAACATATGCATTAGTTCATATCATTTTGGTGTACCATTAATGATTGACTAAGTATTTCGCCATGAATATGTATTCCGCTATCAATAACGACACCTCAAACAGTAGGGCTTGCCCTTCATTTAGGAAATTGATGGTGCAATTGTTATCTAATTAGGAGATTCGTAATATTAATAGCCTTTGGAATCATTTATGTAACAAACATTATTTTTCAAACAACGGAATATAATTTTCCTACAATTGAAATTAAGGATTGATATAAGTTTATTTGTTAACCAACTGTCATCCTTCTAGGAACGATCACTCTCAGAAGCCGAACCTTGTGCTAACTAAAGGTTTTAACGTGGTTTTAACTTTCAATCAACCAACGTATAAATCCCCCTTCTTCATATTTTCTGAGGCTGTGTTAATTTTGACGTTACATTTTTATCAGTCTTGATCTCTCCACACCTTAGTTAAACAATATTTGGTAATAACTCGGTCCTAATAACTATTGATGTTGTCTGTTAAGGATACATTTCGCTCCAGTAACTGATACCGAGACATATTTTTCTGCTTTTTTTGTACCTTTCATTGTCTACAATAGCTTTAGTTTTTCGGTGCCAACTCAAGGTCTTTAGCCGTTACTTTGTATCTTATCTCCTCAGTTCCTATTCATTTGTACCCAAAATTATGCACTTTTCGTATTTACATATAAATTATACTACTGAAAATACAAAGTCTGTTGACTTTGTATTTTCTCGTAAATCTTCTAATACTCCATTGAACGGTACACTCCACATTGCACCTAGTACGAAGCCTTGTCAAACAATTTTTCTATCCAATGAGACATTTGATCCTTCCAATCCCAACGTAATGGCTCATGCAATAATTTTAAATTTTATCATTAACTTTCAAATCAGGTTACCATAAATCAACCCTATATTAATTAATTCATTGGTGAGGCATGTATCCATAAGCAGGCTCATGAAACGGAAGCTCAAAAGTTGCAATAACCGCTAATATGAATGAGGGCCTCTCTTACAACAAAAGGGTTATAGCTTCATCACAGATTTAACCAATTGGCTATGGGCCAATCCTAGTCGAGTACATATCTGCTGGTTTTTATCATCAAAATGTATACTGTCGTTTCTGTATATCTTTGCATTGTACACGTTTGGAAGCATCTTCACATCCGATTTATTAATCATTCACTGGTTTTGGAGATGTAGCATTATCAAAACACACTATCTGCTACTTTTTTACCTTTTTGTTGAACCTCAAAACGGTGAGCAGCCACAGTCCGTCGCGTATTTCTGATATAATTACCGCTCTTGGTGGGGTTCAAAACTTCATGTGAAAGGGTCTATAGGATTGAGACAAATCCCCAACTTTTCTTCGATGTTCCAGACTATCAAGGTTGCAAATGATGTTCGCGTCTCCAATCAGGCGCATGGTTTTTTTCTGGATGGAATTCAGCAGCTTCAGGGTATGCTTAGGGGTAGAGCTCCAGACGTGAGAACAATACAAAGAAGGTTGTGTACAGTTTTCTGGTTCGGAAAAGTTCGTCATCATCATCATCTTGATTTCATTCAAGCTGGAGCCTAGCTCCCTTACCTTTCAGACTGGCTTTTGTCAGAGAGACAAATGGGTCATAACTGATTTGTGGTGGTGGCATGAACGTCCTCAGACATCAATACCACCCTTCGCGGTGTACTCCTTCCTGGCTGGGGTGAGGTGGATGAAGATATTATTCATCTATTAACGGAGGACATGAGGGCCTCATTCGACAGACTGTTGGGGCCTTCTATATCGAGAGGGGTCGTCTACAGCGTAATCTATAGCTTCCCTGACTAACAGCCTATCGTGAGTTTCCGCACAATCGAAAACTCGCCGATACCTCGACTGCTGAATGGAAGGCAGCTGCAAATCTCTGCAGATGGCTTCATTCCGCACAAACCACGAAGCATTCACAATCATCCGTAGTATTTTGTTTTGTAAAGTCTCCAGGATGGAGATGCGTTGGACGGAGCTGCTTGTCCCCAGACGCCTGAAGCATACATGATGACAGGCTTGAACATCGTGTTGTAGATCGTAATTTTGTTTTTAAGGATTGGTTTTGATCGTCTACTTATCAGAGAGTACAGGCTTGCCACCCGACCCTCGATCTTTGCCTTCATGCTTATAAAGTGCGGGTTCCAGGTGAGCCTACGATCTATTAGAAGACCGAGGTACTTTACCCGCGCTTGCTAGTCGATCTCCCTTCCAGAGGTCCTCACTTTTCTGGTCGGAGAAGATATCGTTCTTCCCATGGTTATCGCCTTAGCCTTTGGTCGTCCAATGCACTTTGCATGTAGACAGTCCCGAGCTCCGGACCCATGGAAGATGAAAGGAGAGTTGTGTCGTCGGCGTAGAGGGATATCTTCACATACTCAGACCTCGGGAGGTCGCTGGAGTAAAGAGAGTACAGCGAGGCACTTCAGCGAGGATCTCTCTGTTGTCAGATAGAGAGCCCTCTACTATAACCTGAAATGTTCTGTCTTTCAGGAAAGACCCAATCCACCGGATCAGGCCCCGAGGCAGGTCGAACTCAATTAATTTATGCAGAAGGCCTTAGTGCCAAACACGGTCGAAGGCCTTCGAGATGTCTAATAAGACGACATGGACATTTCTGTTACGATTCATCTCCGCGATGGTGTCTCAGAGCCTGTAACTCAATGGATGGTTCGGAACAGTGTTCCAATATTTTGAGAAGCAGCCTTTGCAATTCCAGCAACATGATTGTGCCAACACATATTGGTGTCCATTTTAACCACCAACAAACTTATCGAAGCAGAAAGTGAAATTGACCATCAAAGTATTCGAGAGATATCCAATGATAGCCGACTATGTCAGACTGAGTTTCGTTTTTATTCTCTCCTGTAGGTATGTTTCAAGTTTTCTGTTCGATATTATTACGAAAAATAAACCTATCCCAATCATTTTTAGACATTACTGTAATTTGTAAATCACTTGAATATATTTTTCACTTGGCGTAATTGTACAAATGTAGAAAGTTGTGTTTTCCTGTATGGGAAAACTGGTGTTCTCCATCATGTATTATTGACCTCGACATTCAATGTTGGTTTCGATAACCCGTTTCAAATATCTGTGATAGAATATGATTATGACAATGAATATAAAATCAATAAAACCTCATTCATTTGTACTTTAATTATCACATATTATCTTTTCAGACGAATACACCAGAATCACGACTCCTAGGCAAGATGTACTATTTAAGAAGGGTTACTTGAATAAACCTAGAAGTTATCAGACACAAACGTCTACGGGTACTTCCACAACCTCGACGGGAAACTCCACTGGTAATGGAACTCCCGATCACCAATCGACAGGTAAGCGTAATTCACTAATATAAAAATTACCTTTTTTTTAAGTCCTAAAAGTTTCATTGAAAGTAATACAAATTATGAAACAACAACAACCAAAATTAATTGGCGCTCCGGGGCGACTTGATTAATTCCAGTGGCGCATTTGCTTTTTCAGCTGCAGGAAAACCGGAAATATTTACTATATATTTCTCCTCTTCCTTCTGTACAGTGTATGATAGCATTGAATTAGTAATATTGGAATGAGTCAAGTTCACCAATTTATGTGGATTTTATTCGTGACTGACGTCAACTATGGTAGACCATGATCAAGAATTGTTTGTGCCTTTCGGACTACCTTGTGAGTCGTGGCTAATGACGTTTTTGGGTTCCGAAATATTTAGAATGATTTTCGGTTAATATTCTTTCTTCAATGCAATTAAATTCTTTGACACTTATTTCAACTGAGATTGTGATATGGAATTTAACCTCTGAAGCAATGTTGGTATCTTTGTTAAGACTCAAGAATCAATCCAATATTCCATCCTAATTTCATCTCAATTTTTTTAGGTTGTTGACAATACCAAACAGAATCACCTCATTTGAATATGACTTTTCAAGAATTTTTGATCGTTTTCATACTGCTTGCAAGTCCTGATTACTTTGTGATCTTAATTCATTTCTTTATTTTGTTTCTCGATGAATATTGTGAAACCTCAATTCCTCTTGAACAATTCGAAAATTCGGGTTACAATTTTCTCCATGGCAACTATTATAAATTTGTTTCAGAACTTCTTTGACATATAATTCTAACAGAAATAACTAGTACTTTGTGGCAAGTTCATCTGGACTAATATCTTATGTATTAGCTTTGTATCAAGCTTCATTTTCCAACTGCTCCTCATTTGGATGCTTCGTTTTCAGAATCAATTCTGAAATTTGTTTTAATCCAGTATCAATATTTTGGACTTCTTTCATTGTGGGATTTTCATTGCACTCAGTCATCTTAGATTATTACATTTCAATTCATTCCAGTAGCTCATTGAAGTCATCCAGCAAGAGTTTTCAAAATATTGTTGAAAATGACTAGTATTTTGTCCAAAGCCGAGAATTTGGGATGACCGTCGCTGAATATTGATTATCCATGTGCCCTCATTTTCTGAAAACTAACTTTGACTGCCCCAAATCTCCAGTTATCCACTCGCCCTTTTTCCATATAATTTAAGACAAATGAATTGCAGTATTTTTGTATACCTGAATTATGAGCGTCAATTGAATTTAGATTCGTGCAGATTGCCTAGGGCTCCTTTTAAAGTTTTGTTTGGTAAATCTGTTGGTGTCTAATTAAGAGTTTTTTCATATTCTTCAGCTTCGATCTAAAATACATGTCCCCTGAAGAACTCACCCTGCAGCGAGAAGCACAAGGTGAGAATCCTCCTAAATGAGGCCTCATCGTTAGCTGTGTGTGATTCGTGAGGAAAGAATGAATGACTCTAAGCCCACTTTGTATCACTAACTCAACTTTCGAGATACTGGAGGCCCTCTCTTCGTATGAAGCCTTGTCACAGTAATGCGGGTCTCTGCCGTGATGAACCTTCCTTCATTAGCTATTAGTACGGCCTTCTAAAAACCCTGAAGTAACTACAAAATCCGAGGAGATGGTCGTCACCTGAACGACCCCAAATTCTCTCCCTGCAACTTCGGGTCAAGAGCAAGGACTTCATAGCTCTTCAACTATTGGACATACATAGGGGGCTAGGTGGAGCAACCAAGAAGCAACTCATCGCTCAACAGGAAAAAGTCAGATGAATCTGCCTTGCACCAAATTATTGAGCAGCAGAATCTGCATCAGATAAGGAAACAATCTCCCCCTGAGCAAGTCAGAAAACGTTCACGCTAAGACGATGATTAACCTAATTCGGAGGTGCCTGATGCCTGAATCTGAAGTATAGTCAAGTGTAGGCCCATGTGGCCTTCATGGGAAAGATGCTGTGACCATCAATTTGGGAATCTTGCACTTTGAACACCCGCCAATCTCGATCAGTCAACTGGAATCTGTTCAGTATGTTCTTATGGCTGGCCACAGTGCATCTCCTGGATGCTGATTGCAGTTAGTACGTTGCAACTGTGGGAGAATGTCTCCTCGAAATGGTTACCAGGGAACCTACTTCCCAAACCATACATTTGTGTTGGTTACTTATGTGACGAAGATAGTCGCAGACTGATCACCGATCAGTTCCTTTCTAGATTGTGAACCTACCTACGCCTGAAGAGCGCCAGCCAAAAGTTTCCACCTACAGATAAAGCTTTAGGCTCGAAATGAAAAACCGTATTCACTGATTAGTAAGATGTGTTCAGGGAATAATAATAGTTTTTTATTCGCAATCAATTACATGGTCGAATATAAAGATAAAACTATTTCAAAAAGTATGACAAAAAAGTATATATATACCTATGAAATAATATGGAACACGAATGCAAAATGGAGTTGAAAACAACTGCGGAAAGTTCTAGTTCGGCCCCAGGTTAACATAAGTGCAATCATAATTGTTCGCATGCAAAAAAAATAATTTTAGAAATGTTGAAGTTTGAATATTACATGTGGAAATATTGAGATATACATTTTCGGCCAATGTTTCGAAATGAATATAGTTTCGTAGTACGAAGTGGTGGGGCGATTTCATAATATAGCTTGAAGACATTGTATGTAAAGCTTTTTTGGAACAGAGAAGTTTTGTAAGGTAGAAGCTAGATATGATCCCTATGATATGTATTAAGGTTATGTATATCTGTCCTATATTTTATTTTATTGTGAAGACATGGGGGACACTGTTTGCTGATAATTGAATAGGTTAAAATATGAAAATGAAATTTTCGACGATCTTTCACTTTTAACCATTTTGCGGATCTTAGCTTATGAGATATTGGATCATATTTGCGAATACCGTAGGTCAATCTGAACCACTAATTCTGAATTTTTTCTATACGATTGATATCGTTATAATCTAAACATACAGAACATCACAATAGTCAAAGTGACTCAGGACAAGTGTATAATTTAACATTTTTTTAAGTGATTTTGAAAGAACATGTCTGAGAGTAAAGCATTTTTAATGAACAATAAGCCTTTTGAAGACAAGAGTCAATATGTTTTCTAAATCGAAGTTCTGTATGAGTGATACAGCTGTGTATCATCAGCATAAAAGTGGACTTTACAAGTTGTAATGCTCGAAATGAAATTACTTGTATATATACTAGGCCAAGTATAGACCCTTGTGGAACCCCACAAGTGACATTTTCTCTCGCTGACATACCCACAGCTGTCTTCACATATCGACTTCTGTCCTGTAAATAATCACACATAAGACTAATAGCACTGTCCTAAAAACCTATAAAATGTAAAATAGAGAGTAATATTCAATAGTTTACCGTATCAAATGCCTTTGAATAATCTAAGACAATAAGAAAAGTTGTTTTTCCTGCATCTGCTTCTCTTATACTATCAATAACAATTTCAGGTAAGGTTGTAGCACAATTGTGTCCCGGTCTGAACCCTGATCGTTCACAATATATAAAGTATATTTTTCAAAATGACGTCTTACCTGTTTTTGCTGTTTATTTAGTTTGTTCTCGCGGACACCTTGAGAATTTTTCTGGAAGCTGAGTTGCCTTTTCTTGTTTTGAATCAAATTTTACAATTATCCTTGTTGTTCTTCCAATTTCACTTTTTATTCTTCTTGGTCATATTTTCGATTCAGATATAGTTCAAAAAAATGGCCAGATTCATGTTTTCGTTTTTCTTCGTTTGGTCTTATTTTCATTTCGTATCTGGTTGTAGCTGCTTGTCTTCAGTTATGTAATCAAAACTGTTAAAATGATATTGAAACTTGACGAAATAAGGAACATATAACTATGCAAGTTAGGAATATGTTAGAAATATGTTTACAAAAAGTATCGAATGTCAGTTTCAATTTTGAGATTTAAAATTGTCATATTTTGTTTCACCTAACACATTTAGTGACATGCTATGGTTTTTCATTTCGTTGTTTCGTTTAGTTTGATATTGTAGAGAAATGGTTGAGTTTTCATACTATACTAATATTTTTGGAAATATAATAAAACAATGGGTAACAAACGCATATTTTTGAACATTATTCCCAGTACATTCTACAAGAACTGCATCGATCGATTGTGATGTCGGCACTTCCGGTTATACCGGAGGTAGCTGTCAACTTCGTTTTTTCAAAGGGAACACCATATATATTAATACATTTTTTGATTTTACATCAGAAACTACATACTTTTTGTGTATAATGTCCTACTCGTATAAGTCTAACCGTTTTTGACATATTTAAGTTTTTATGTCAAAAATTATGTATTTGGTGATAGTTTCTTTATTTCCGGAAATNAATAATATGGTCTCGGGCACAAGCGAATTTCTACTCACGTATGGGTAAAACTTTGAAACAGAATTAATTTATGAAAATGCTCAAATAGGTCTATTTTTAAATTTATTTAACATATTTTCGAGCAGGTGAAATTTTTTTAAGAGCACACCCCCTACATATTAATAATCATCCGTGATTTGAAATTAACCGAAAATAAATTAATAAATTCATTGAAACCTGAGAGTAATGAATTTATTTTTGGATGCCAGTTTAGCCTAGCATTCTCTACTCGACAAAGCCCACGGCGAAGTAATTTCAAGTATACTTTTTCTAATTTATCATTCCTCAAGTAACATTTTGATTAAAACATATATGAGTATATTCAAAATATATTCAAAGTAACCACATTAGTAATACAAATTATGAAATTATGAAACAACAAAAATTAATTGGCGCTCCGGGATGACTTGATTGATTTCAGTGGCGCATTTGCTTTTTCAGATGCAAGAAAACCTGGAAAAACCCCAGCCCCATATCATCTGATGATATTGATCTGCCAACGCCCTCTCTTTAGTAAAATAAAATGTATGGCGTCTCCAGAGGCTCCAATAAATCCAAGATATCACCAGAATATTTAGT